AGGCTTCGGAAGGAGTTCGAAATCGAGTGTCCAAAACATATATAAAAACACAGGGCTTCGTAACACGGATAGAAAAATAACATCGCGCTCTTGCGAATTCTTAAGACAATCATCGTTTTTTAACATCTTCAGAACATGCAACCAAACGGGCTTCGCGCGCACGCATGTCGAAATCGTTCGAACTCCCTTGCGCGCGTGCCGTCGAGAGAATCCCCTGCAAAGAAAGGGACGAAGTGCACGCGCACGCGTCGTCGCGCGCGCATGCCGAAATCTTTCAAAAACCTACGGTTTCGGAAGGATGTCAAAATCGAATGTCCAAAAAACACAGGGTTTCGCAACATGGATTTTCAACAAATGCGTGCGCGCGCGCTCTTGCGTTGTCGTCGTCGTCGTCGTCGTCGTCGCCGTCCTCCCTCTTCCCTCGTCGTCGTCGTCGTCGTCCTCTGTCTTTCCTCGTCTTCGTCGTCGTCGTCCTCTTTGGCGTCGTCGTCGTTTCCGTCGTTGTTGTCGCCGTGGTCGTCCTTCCTCCTCCCTCGTCGTCGGCGTCGTCCGTCGTCGGCATCTCGTAGTCGTCCCTCCTTTTTCGTCGTCGTCGTCGTCGTCGTCGTCGTGGTCGTCGTCGTCTTCCCTCCTCCCTCGTCGTTGTCGTCGTCGGCGTCGCCGTCCTCCCTCCTTCTTCGTTTTTCGCGTCGTCGCCGTTCTCCCTCCTCCGTCGTCGTTGTCGTCGTTGTCGCCGTCGTCGTCCTCCCTCCTCCCTCGTCGTCGTCGTCGTCGTCGTCTTCGTTGGTGACGTCGTCGTCGTCGGCGTCGGCGTCGGCATCGGCATCGTCGTCGGCGTCGTCGTCGGCGTCGTCGTCGTCGTCGTCGTCGTCGGCGTCGTCGTCGTCGGTGTCGGCGTCGTCGTCGTCGGCGTTGTCATCGTCGACGTCGTCGTCGGCGTCGGCGTCGTCGTCGTCGTCGCCGTCGTCGGCGTCGTCGTCGCCGTCGTCGGCGTCGTCGTCGTCGTTGTCGTCGTCGTCGAAGTCGTAGGAGTCGTCGTCTGTGTCGTCATCGTCGTCGTGGTCGGCGTCGTCGTCGTCGTCGTTGTTGTCGCTGTCGGCGTCGGCGTCGGTGTCGTTGCCAGGTGCCATTTGGTACCCACCGTCACGGTCTGAAGAGGTCTTGCGACCAAGTTGCGGGTGGGAGGGTGGGATGTTTGCACGAGCAGTGGAGAGGACAGCTTCAAGACAGTCAAAGTGACATGCACAGCATACGTATATTTTACCGCCTAGATTGCGCCACAATGGTTGCAGCGCGTAGATTGCACCACGCCGAGTGCACCCCATAGCTGGCACACAATAGTTTGCACCGCCGAGTGCGCCGCATGGGTTGCACAACGTAGATTGCACCATGTAGGGTGTACGATATATGCGTTTATATAAAAACATATGTTGCACCGCATATAGTCTCTTTTCTAAAAGAAGAGATAGGTTCTACCACCCTCCCCCGGGGTTAAAGACCTTCTTTTTCGTCTTGCAATTAAATCTGCTTCTGCCCCATCGTCCATCCTAAATATGAATTTGCAACATCCCAGGGAGGGCCGTTGTCGCCCCCCCCTGCCATGCTCCCCGCAGAAAGATACTATGCGTGCACATTTGTTTATCAAAAATCATAAGCTGACAAGAATCCCTTGCAACAGACAATGGGACTAAGTCCGCTTTCGCGCATGCCGAAATCCTTCAATAACCTTCGGCTTCGGAAGGATTTCGCAATCGAGTGTCCAAACGACATAAAACATCACAGGTCTTCGCAACACTGATATCCCCAAAAATGCATGCGCGCGCACTCTTGCGAATTCTTAAGACAAGCATCGGCTTTTCAATATTTTCAGAACGTGCCATCAAACGGGCTTCGCGCGAGCATGTCGGAATCGTTCGAACGCCCTTGCGCGCATGCCATCGCGAGAACCCCTTGCAAACAATGAGACGAAGTGCGCGCGCGCGTCGTCCATGCCGAAATCCTTCAACAACTTTTGGTTTCGGAAGGATATCGCAATCGAGTGTCCAAAACACAAACGAAACCAGAAGGTTTCGCAACAGTGATCTCCAAAAAAGCATGCGCGCGCGTTCTTGCGAATCCTTAAGGGAACCATAGGTTGTTTCGCAAGATCTCAGAACATACTACCAAACGGGCTTCGCGCGCGCATGTCGAAATCGTTCGAACGCCCTTGCACGCGTGCTGGGGTGGCACGATCCGTGTCAAATAATACCATGCGAGCCACGCTCGCGCGTCTGCCGCGCGCGCATTTCGAATTTCTTCCAAAACCTTCATCACCGACGCGAAGACGCTGTCATCGTCGTCGGCGTGATCGGTATCGGCGCCGTCACTAGCCGTGCCGTCGTCGCTGTCATCATCGTCACCAACATCGCTACTATCATATCGTGACTACAATAGTCGACGTTGCCATACCGCACCCGCCCACGTCGCCGACTCGCACTCAAGTGCCCGTTGGGGTGTGCCGAGCGTTCAGCACCACCGCGGCCGCGTCGGTCGCGCCAAACTACCTGGCCGTTGCGCGCGCACGCGCGGGCTGGCGCGGCCGCAGAGGTGCACCAGCTAGCGCCAAGCACTCATCGCAATCACCGCCGCATGAGGTTTGCAAACCAAGTTGCGGGTGGGTGGGTGGGATGTTTGCGCGAGCAGTGGGGTGGACAATTCATTGCGAACATAAATTATTTGCACCATCTAGATTGTACCACCTAGGCTGCACCACGTCGGTTGCGCAACTTATATTAATCAAGTAGATCGCGCCACGTTGGAAGCACACCTCAAGCTGCACTTTTTAAAGTGCACAACAAATACTGCAGCACATAATTTGCACCATGTAGATTGCACCCCGATGGGCCACATACCCACGACTGTATCACATATATTGGATTGCATCATCTAGACTGCACCACACAGTGTGCACAATAATCACGGAGCAACACATGTTTCACCACATGGGTTGCACACCCTTATAGTGCACCACGCAGGATGCACAGCCCACATGGCACCCCATAGATCGCATTACATAGATTGCACATCACCGGTTGCATAAGATAGAGTGCTCCACATAGGGTGCACAACGTCGAGCCCCAGAAACACAGTGTTAGGTCCACATTGGCTAACATTAAGCCATAAGGATATTGTACATTGCATGGGCGGGGTACGTTTGCAGGTGGAAGGCGCATGGGTCAGAGGTGAGGGTGGAAGGCAGGGAGAAACAGAAGGAGAGGAAGACATGTATATACATATATATATATATAGATAGATATAGAGAGAGAGAGAGAGAGAGAGAGAGAGAGAGACGCATACTACAACGTAGGGCTGACTCATTCGATGGTAGAGTGCAGGGCCACCTGGGACAGTATAGAACGTAATCAAAACAGGGAGAGAGAGAGAGAGAGAGCACAAACGCAGATTTGAAAGAGTGAGTGGTAGAAAAAGAAAGAAGGAAGAGAGAGAGAGAGAAGAGACAGAGAAGAGAGAGAGAGAGGAGAGAGAGAGAGATAATATATACACACATATATTTATATATAGAAAGAGAGAGAAAGAGAGAAAAAGAGAGAGAGAGAGAGAGAGAGAGAAAAAGAAAACTAATCAGAGAAGGAGAGAGAGAGAGAGAGAGAGAGAGAGAGAGAGAACGACATTGAGAGAGAGAGAGAGAGAGAAACAAAAAGAGAAAGAGGGACAATGAGAGATAGAGAGAGAGAGAGAGAGAGAGAGCGGGCAGGTGAGGAGTGCCTGCGCGGATGCCTGGAGTTTTACGGATTGGTGCTTCTATCTGGTTAAATTGAGCCTCTGTGCGGCCCCTTGTCGCGACGGATTGGTCCGCTTCGGACCACTGTGCCCCCCCCGCCTTCGACCCCCAGCCCCGTCCCGCTCTGGCCCACGCTGCTCATGCTGGAGCCTCGAGCCTGGAGCCCGCTCCAGACCTCCGATCCAGGCAGTGCGTGCTGCTCGCGCGGCAGCTGGGCGCAGGCCAGATGCTCGGCAGGAGTGCCCCCGGCGAAGGCGGGTTGCCGTGCCGAGCTGCCTGGGCTCCCCTGGTGCTCGAGCCCAGAGCGTGGTTCCCCCCGTGCCTGAGCGTGCGGCCTGCCGATTTTCGTGCATGCGATGCGCCACTGCAGCTGCCCGCCTTCTCGGGCTTCGGCCCTCTCCGCGCCCCGTGACATCGGCGGCGAAGTCCGAACCTCACCCTCGCCGACCCACGAATCGGGCAACTCCATGGGCGGCGGGGGGAGGGTCGGCAGTTTGCCGAACACGTGGCGACATCCGAACCCTGCCCCCGCCTTCCATCTAGCTATTCAGGAAAATCGATGGTTGGTTGGGGGTAGGGTTCAGATGTCGCCACGATGAAAGCCGCGCGCGAATTGTCGCTCTGCCGAAGAGTCACTCTCACGCGAAACCGATCTCCAGCAGCCTTGGCATGCAGTTTGTAGTCTGCGGGCCCATTGGGGCCGCTCCGCCGAACTCATGACAAAAGCGGGGGAGATCCGACCCACCCGGCGACTGAGGGTAACCGCCGCGCTTGCACGCGGGGCCGCCAGTTTTACCCCCGATGCCCCTCCCCCAGCCCTTGCTGCAGAGCCCGTGCAGAGCCCTTGCTGCAGAGCCTGTGCTCGCGGATGGTCCACGGCGCCGTGCAGGCATTGTCTGGGGGCGCCTTGTTTGCACGGTTACACTGGGCACTCCGAGCGAGTCAGAGATCTGTAGGGGAGAGAGAGAGAGAGAGAGAGAGAGAGAGAGAGATAGAGAGAAGGAGAGAGAGAAAGAGAGAGAGAGAGAGAGAGAGAGATGGGGCAACGAGATTCATGCATATCCACTGCCCCAGTTGGCCAAAGGAGGCATACGCGCCGCTCCTGGGCCCTGGGCCCAGGGTGGGCCAGGCCCAGGGCAGCGGATCCGTACAGATCTCGTTGCCACCAGAGACGCAGGCGGCCTACAGAGAAGGACGATGTGGAGTGCGTTGGGCTCAGGAGCCACGGCTCGGGCTTCCTCTTCCTGGTGGAGCAGCACCGGCGGCTTGTGGTCCCGCTGAAGATGTCCGGGCAGCACAAGGACGCCGCTTTTGATGTGGTAAGTCACGGAAGCCTCCGCTCGTCTAAGATTGAATGCATATCGGCGATGTTGAGCGCCCAGTGGCGCCATGTGAGGAAGATGCCTTCTGCCCGCTTTGTGCGCGATTGGGCGCGCCATTGGGCCCAATGGGGACGACCAAACGTTTCCCTGAGCTGTTTTCTAGGACCCTTTTCGCCGCTCGTGCGCCTCCCGCGGGGGGCGGCGGCTGGCTGTGGCAGCCGCTCCCGCCAGATGAGGCTGCATGCTCACGTCGCTCACGGGTGTGGGATCCTGCACGTTGGAGCTGGCTGGGGGTCTGGGGTGGCCCAGCTTTGTTTCTGGCCAGCAGCAAGTCACGGCGATCTTCGAGGGCTCGGCAAGGTTTTTGCTGTCTGGCCTTTTTCGGTCTCCGGGGGCCGTCTTCGGGTCCCAGGACCGTCAAAAAAGGATCCGGAGTGAAAAATTTGCCCCATGTGGACCCCAGGAGGGAGGGGTTCGGGGACCGATTTTGATCGGATTTGCCTTCATCCCCCCGTCTTGGCCAAATTTCTCGAGGTCCATCCAGTTCGGACCCCCAGGCCGCCTCTAACCCGTACGTTCTCGCTGCTCGCTCCGCGTCGGAGGAGGGGGGAGGGAGGAGGGGAGGGGGCTAACCAGGGGGGCCGGGGCCGCTCGGGCCAGGCGCCGCACTTTCGGTGCCGCGTCGCGCCGCAGCTTTCCGTGGCGGTCCTGTCTTGTCCGAAGCGGGCTCGTCAAGGAGTGTATGCGGATTCGATGTCAATCCAACGCGAATTGCGACGCGATGGTGGAGGCCATGTCCCCCCCGAAGGTGCAGCACACAATTCAAGGGGCTTCGCGGGGTGTGCGCGCTTCGGCGACACGCAGGACTGACCCTTCGCGGGAGTGGCCTTTGGAGCACGGCGTTCGGGCGGCGCGAAGCGCCAAACCAAAGGACGCAGGCGGCTCCTGTCGCATCGCATTCCACGATCGGCCAGCTGCGCACCGAAGTTGACTCTTGCATACAGCCGACCTTCCAGGAGCCATCCAGGGGAAGGGGGTGACCTGCCCAGGTGCTGAGCAAAGTATTCCGCCTCCGCCGCGGATAAGCATTCCTGGCACGGGCGAGCATGCCATCTGCACGGGATCCGTTGCGCGAGCTTGTTCTGTCGTCTCGCGGGAGGCACATCACGCAGGAGTTTTCCGGGGGACCGATCATACCCAACTCGGGGGAGGGCAAGGTGAGACAACGGCCGGTCTGCCGCCCGGCCACGATCGCTTAATGAACCTGGCGCGATCAATCAGGGGAACGCGTCCTAATCGGTGTTGCTTTGACTTGCTTGGCATTGCATTGCTTTGCTTTGCATTGTATTGCATTGCTCGGTTTTGCTTTACATTGCTTCGTGTTGCTTGGTATTGCTTGACACTGCTTGGCATTGCTTGCCATTGCTTGGCATTGCTATGCGTTGCTTGGCGTTGCTTGGCATTGCTTCGCGTTGCTTTGCGCTGCTTTGATCTGCTTGGCGTTGCTTGGCGTTGCTCGACGCTGCCTGGCGTTGCCTGGCATTGCTGGGAAACAAGACCAACAACCTGGGCGGGGAAACCGAGGAACCCGGGGAACCCGAGGAACCTCGGAGGAACGGGCAACGTAACAATAGGAGGCACCAGTAGCGGGGAACTCGAGGAACCCAGGGAACCCGAGAACGTCCAGGAAACGGGCAACGTAACAATAGGAGGCACCGGGGGCGGGGAACCCGAGGAATCCGAGGAACCCGAAGAACTTGCGAGCAACGGGCAAAGTAATATAGGAGGCACCAACCTTTAGCCAAGTAAGAGCCCCTTAGGCAAGCCTTATTGGGGGAAATCGGTGCTAGGATCCCTCTGGGGGTTCGTCCTGACCCGTTTTTCAATGCGGATCCAGCCGTGGCGACGAGTAACTATCCTCCAGGAGGCCCCAAGAAGATGGAAGAACGCCAGGGAGGCCCGCTGTTGTCGAGGCTGGCCCACCACCGCTGCTAGCTGCGTTGGTGGATGGAGACGCTACAGAGCAAGCGCCTCTGATCATTGAGGCGTGGGAGGCACCGTAGCCTCGACCTCCAGCGGGCTCAAAAATGATAACAAAATTGCCGGCTTTCTCGCTGAGGGAGGTGAAGTCCGCTGCGCAGCCGGGCGCCTTCTCAGGGAGAACCCCGCGCAAGACCACAAGGTTCGAAGGACGACGACGACGACGACGACGAGGATAATACCACAGAGGGGGGGGGGGAAGGACGAGGCGATACTGTGAGGACATTGGATAAGGATCCCGTGGACAAGGAGAATCCTCCAGGTTTCTGAAGCCTCCTGGGCACATTCCTGAGGAACGCCCCCCCCCCCCCCCCCGTAGGGGAGAAGAACGAATCGCATGTCCCCTGCTCTCTGGTTGATTTCCCCCGCCTCCCCGCCCTGGGATTCTGACCGCGTCTCTGCCGTGACGCACAGGCTCGGCAGGGTGTGTGGCTGCACGGTGACGCTGCCCTTCTTTGCTTACGGACGCATTCTCATCGCCTGCGGCTGGGGAGGAGGAGGAGGACGAGAGAGAGAGAGAGAGAGAGGAGGAGGAGGAGGAAGAGGAGGAGGAGGAGGAGGAGAAGAGGATGAGTGGGAGGACGACGACGAGGTCGTCGTGGAATTTTCGGGAGTGGCGTCCGCCGTTCTTGTCTCGCTGGATGAAGGGGGAGGGATGAGGGAGGAGGGGTGCGTACGATGGTCAAGGGCACGACGAGATCGGGTCGAAGCGACAGCAGGCGGAGTCAGCAGGATGAGGGGAGGACGAGGGAGGGGGGTGCGGGAGAAGGGAGCAGACGGGAGGACGGGATGCAGGCAGGGAGGGGAATAGGCGGGGGGGAAACTTGAGACCCGCCGCCGCGAAGACATGCAACGTCGTGAGACCCGAGGCCCGAGACCGCCCGAGGCGCATCGCTTCGTGAGGGCCGCGGGGCCCGAGTCTGGGCGAACACATCGGGTGTGGCGGGGATGCGGCGCCCCGATGTGCTCCAGGGCGTGCTCTAGGCCACGAGGCTGCTCTAGGGCGGTGTCTTCTTAACCCCTATACGTTACTTTTCTCGGCCTTCGGCCGAGGGCATCTGGGCCTCCAGGCAGCCTGTCGCCATCAACTACAGCAAAGGACGCGGCGCCAGGATCTCTGGGCAGGAGGAGGGATGGGGCCTCGGACCGCCTCATGCCCGTCCTGCCCTAGCGCCAGTCCACCGCGCCCCCTGGCCAGTGAGGAGGCACTCTCGGCGGGATGGGGCCGCTGGATCTGCACGCTGGCCCTCTGCTCGGGGCTCCAGAGAGAGGGGTCAGTGCAAGCGGGGGTCAGCCAGAGCGCCAGATCTTGCAGGATCCTGCGGGGCCAGGGCTGCACTGATCCAGGCTTGCATTTAGGATCCTGCAGGATCCTGCAGGATCTTCTTGCAGCATCCTGCAAAGCCAGACTGACCCAGGTTTGCATTGACCCGGGTCAGTAGATCCCCGATCTGTGTTCTCTCTGCCCGCTTGCCACTCCCCCTCCTCTCTATCATCGTCTTCAGGGCCCGTTTCGGTTCGATCGTTCTGACTCGAAGCCGACTTCAGCCTGCTCGGTCCAGTTGGATTTCGATCTTCTGGCGATTCGATGCGGCCCGATATTTTCACAGCATAGTCGCGTATCCAGGCGCAGCCGGTCAGATTCGATGTAGGATGTAGGCCCCGTGCTGATGCGGTTCGATCGGACGCGCGTTTCCATTCGATCTGATTTCCCGATTTGGTATTTGCTGATCCCGCCTGGTCCTCGCACTCTCATCTCCTCGTCGTTCAGATTCAACTCGTCATCTCCTTCTCCTACCCCCACGTCCGTCTACAATTATGTACTCAACATGAGTCCCACTCTCCTTTTCCCCCGACTGGGTCCTGGAAGTGTACCGCCCTCTCTACGTATCCTGCGTTTTACGCGGGACTCCGGCACACCGCGCGTCACTTTTGTAGAGTGCGCTCTCGGCACACCGCGGGTCCCAGGATTGCGCTCTCGGCACACCGCGGGGCCACTTGTTACAATCCGAGACGTGCCTCATCCTTCCCTTCCCAGCAGGAACGCCATCTGCCCGCACTGTCTTCGACTGCTCATCCGGCCCCGACCTCCCAGGCTGGGGGTGGCTGGGCTCGTTGCAGTCCGGGTGGGGAACTCGTGCGAGGGTCGTTGACAGCAGGAAGCGCCATCCACCCGCAGTGTCGTGGACCCCTCATCCTGCCCCGACCTCCAAAGGTGGGGAGGGCGACCGAGTGCATCGAGGCAGCGAGGCGGAGCCCGCGGAACACAGGCTGCAACGAGCCCGTGGAAGAAACAGAGCTCGCCCAACCCCCCCCTGCCTCCCAGCTGTGGCGCCTGGACAAGCGCACCGCGGCCGGCGCTCTCCGCGGCCTGGTGCCCGCGGAGCTGGAGCCGCCGCTGCGCTTCGACGTACTGCGGGCCCTAGGCGGGGAGGGGCGTCAGCGACGACGACTTCGGGCCAAGGTGGATCGACGATGATGATCGATGGATCGATCGACGTCGTGGATCGTGCGCGACGACGGTCGATGGCCGAGGTGGATCGACGATAACGATCGACGTCGGTGATGGGTCGTTCGACGGTGGATCGTGAGCGACGACGGTCCAGGGCCAAGGTGGATCGACGACGACATCGACGTCGGTGGTGGGTCTTTCGACGCCGTGGATCGTCAACGATGACGGTCAGCGACGAGGATGATCGATCGATACTGGGGCGACGGCGAGCGAGGATCCCAGATCTCCTACGACACGATGTGTCCGATCCGGACATGATGCATCGACGACGCCCTCAGGGGCTTGTTGATTCTTGACGCTTCACGTATCCCCTCCACTTGCACGAATTATCTGGCTCTGTGCCCCAGTCAGCCTGATTGACACGCCCTCTGGACTCTTCCTTGCGGGCCGCAGATCAAAAAAGTATCCCCTCCACTCGACTCGCCGCTGGCGCGCTCGCCTGCGGTCGTTGACAAAAAGCATGCGTGTTCGTCCCTGTTGGCCTGCAGCCTAGCACGCGGGACTGCTTGCGCAGCCCCGCGTTTCGCCACGTTCGGTGGCGCCTCTACCTCTGGCGCCTGGTGCGCCAAGGTTCAATTCGTCCTTCCCGGTGGTCCGCCTCTGGGATGCCCGCACGCTGGCCGCCTGGCTCTCCTGGCAGCTTTTGCAGCCTGCCTTCAGCCCCCAGCGCCCCTCAGCCTCCCTCGGCGGCAGCCTCGGCAGCCGTGAGTGCGCTCGCTGGGTAATAAGGCTTCGCCCGTAGCCTGGGTCGACCTCTGACGCCGACTGCGCCTTCGCTTGCGGCTGCCACGGAAAAATCCCCGCCACTAGCCCGCTTGCTACGACTCTCGGACGGCGTCCGGCGTTCCTGGTGCGCTTGCGAATAAAAAAGTATCCCCGCCGGCCAGGCCAGGTCCATCCCTGGGCCCCAGGGCGCCGCTCAGGCCCTCGCGGCGCCTCGGCGCCCCGGCCGGGCTATGGGCGTGGTGCGCACCGCGCACGGGGGCCCGCAGGACGACACCCTGGGCCAGGCATCGGAGGCGGCGTCCGGCTGCCTCTGGCGGAGTCCGCCTCTGCCTCGCCTTGTCTTTCCCTCGTCACTCGCCCGTCCTCGGGGCTGCCCGCGCGCCCTGTCACGCGGCTTGGGGCGCAATCCGCGACAGGGCAGCGGTACGACGGCGCAACAAAAAACAAACCAAAGACTTGCAGAACCGCCCACGACGTGGTTTAAGGTGGCGATGCCGTCCTACCCTGGGGAAGTGCACGCCACAGTTCATGGAGAAGCAGTCCCCCTGGTGCATGGAAGCGTTCCACCGTGCAATGCAGCAGGCACCGTACGCACGCAGGAATGGGCGGCCTCGAGGCCATCCTCCACGGACAGGCGGGGCCCAACCCGTCGCTAAGCGGCTGGGCCAGGAGAGGCACCGACCCTGTTCCGTTGGCGCAGGCACGGGTCGCACTCATCCTAATGATGCTCACCGTGGGGGAACCCAGGACGTGCATGTTTCCGTATTCTGACCAGGAGGGAACAGGCGACGTGATCGAGGCCATCCTTGGAACGTGCAAGCCCGGCAGCGCTACGGGTACCACATCCGCCTCCAAGAAAGTCAATATCCGCGATTTTTTCGGGGCAAGTTGGGGATAATCCAAGGATGACTTTCTGCACTTCCACGGCCGCTTTGACGACGCCCTGAGGCACGTCGCCTGCCTAGTCCGAGTGAGCCTCCACCACCTAATTACCAAAGATGCTGGATGCCCACAGACCTGGGCGGAGACGCTGAACAGCAAGATCCAGTTGCGCTCGGCGCTCCAAGTTCTGGAGAATTTGGTCGAGCCAGCCCGGTTTACTGGATTAGCCTCAGTGGACTGTGCGGTCTGCGCACTCCACGTCGGGTTGGTCGGCAGCGACGCGCATCTCGGGAAAGCAGAGGGTGACCTCCTTTGCTACATCGGTGGAGGTATGGCCATCAATAAGACCAGCCTCCTCGCACCCACGCCTCTCAGTGCTGCCCCTGGTGTTCAGCTTATCCCCCCAGCCCTATCCTCGGGAGACGCGCGCTTTCTCAAGGAACAGAAGGGCGCTCGTGCCCTCTGCGAATGGCAGATAAGTTGGCCGCGTACCAGAAGGACCGCAGTGCTGGGCACGAGGTCAAGGTCAGCAACATTATCCCGACACCTCTACGGATGCCTGCAGTTCGAGCCCAGGTGCCCAATCCCAGCAGCGACTACAAAGTGTCCCAGCTGCTCCTGACGGCCACCGGCAGCGACGACCCAGGGCAGACCGGCAGCACTATCCCCAAGTGCCGTCCCATGGACGACGGGTTCGGCACTGGCGCCATCGAGGCCGGGTCCCGCTCCGCCATCTGCGACAGCTGCAGCGGGGGGCCGGTCAAGTTCACGTGGGGGCCAGGCCGCCCCGCGCCCGGCTCCTTTGTCTGGAGGCCCAGCTCCGGCCTGGGATGCGACGACCGATGCGACGGCCCCTGGAACGCTTCCTGGCGCTGCCGCATGTGCCTGGTGCGCATCTGGAACATCGCGCCCAGCGTCCTCGAGGTCATTCTGAACAGGGGCTCTGTCCGCATGTGCCCTCCACACCAACGAAGAGGACCCCCGGGGCTAAGACCTACCGCCGACGACGGCCTGCGGGGCGAGCTCGGCCACCCGCGGGCTGCGGCAAGGCAGGGCGACGCGACGCCGCCCAAGTTTCGCCGCCCCGACCGTTCAGACACCAGTCGGTGCGAACATGTCCTCAGCATCCCGCCGCGTCTCCCCCTGCCCGCGTGCCCCCCCGTGAGTCGCCGTGATGTCGAGACCTGTTTCGCAGTGGCGGGCGACCAGCTTTGGGCGGAAACGGCTTCTCCCCTGGCACTGGCAAGGCGCGTCCGCTGTATGGGCCCAGCCTCCGACGACGCCTGGATTGCTTTCGCCTCCCAGTATGGCCCCAAACCCGACGACTGGAGAGACAGCGCCTGGGGGCGCGAATTGGCCTGCACCTGCGTCCGTTCGCATTGCGCGAGCGCGCTCGCCGACGACGGGGGCCCGCCTGGCATCGCTTAGGATGGCAAGAGATGGGCGGCCGTCTGCCTGGTGCGTCGCCCTGCCCGAGAGGCTCTGATGGGGCGCGCCTGGAGATTCCATGCTCGGGGGGGCGCTCCGCTCAAGGGCGCCGACCCCGCCCGCCGCAGCGTTGGCGCCCTCGTCGACTGGCTTGCAAGCCTCGAACCCGACTTGCTGGCGGACGATGTCCTGTCGGACGGGGAGACAGGCGGGAACGACGCAGACCCAACGGCGGCGTCGACCGGCGAGGCCGCGCCCGCGCAGGCAGCCCGCCCTCCGCCCGGCGCGCAGGCCAGAGCAGACGAGGGATCGACTGGCGACCAAGGGGGTCTTCCATCCCCTCAGCCCCCGGGGGAAGACAGAACGTCTGTCTGGGCTCCAGACCCAGGCTCGGATTGGATTTGGGGGCCGGAGGCCGAAGCGCCACAGTCGAGGACGACCCCGTCCCCTCGCCCACCGACGAGGAGGCCAGCTCAAAGTCCCCTGCCCGCGCCGCGACCCTCCGCGCTGCCGCGCCGGCCAGCGGCGACCGCGACAATGCTGTCGCGCGGAAGCCGGTGGCGCCCTCCGACTCCTGGGGAAGCAATTGGCAGCGGCGACCCAGCGCGGGAGACCTTGAGAGCGCGCAGAAGGAAGGGATTGGGCCGCGACCAAGTGTGGAGCCCTTAAGACCATGCCAAGCGGCGCGCGGATCGCGCGCGGAGTCCCAACGGCGGCAGGTGGACCAGCTAGCTCCTGCTGGAATGCCCATGATGACGGGCGCGCGTGCGGATCCAGCTGGCTACATGCCGTGGGAAGACGGGCCCCCGGGACAGGGCCCCGCGGCGCGCGCGGTCCATGGCGGCCAAGCTGCTGGTATGCGGGTGCGAGGAGTCTGGCGCGATGTGGCCGCCAACCCCTTCGCGCCAACCGACTGCCGCACCCGTGGCGGCAACCAGATGTGCGAGACGCCCGCGCACTTGGTGGAGGCGCAAGGTGCGGCCGAAGGCAGCCCTGGCTTCATCGAAAGGATGCAATCCGAGCTCGGCGCCACGGTCAACAGAGTCTGGCACAGTTGGACCGAGTGCGAAGCAACCCGTCCCGGTCTCGTCCCAAGGATCCACGCGTGCAATCCCAGGCCACCTGCGGAATTCTTGGCTGCCTGGCGACAGACCGGCTACGACGCCCATTCTCTCAGCCACGCGCGCGGACTTTACGCCGTTTCGACCGCGCGCGCCAGGGCCAGGCGACGGGCGACTGGAGCAACGCCGGGCGCCCAGACAAAGGGCTAGACCGGGATGCCTTCGCGGTGCGAAGTGGCGAGCAGGGCAAGCGCGGCCGCGGCTGGGGCGAATCTGCTACGGACAAGAGACACTGCGTGTAGCCACCTTCCAGGGTTCCAGACCTAGGAGGAGGGGGCAGGTCAGGAGGGAAAAACACACAGGCACACATCAACGTCGAGTCTCAAGAAAATATGGGAAAATATGAATTGGAGGGGAATGCGGAAATGCAGAACATATCAGAAATCATAGGGAATCTTTGGACTTGTCCATTCATTTGTGTGTCCCTGGGCCCATGTTGTAGGAGGAGGAGGAACCCCTCCTCGAAGGGGAACACAGGGGGGTATCATAACGAACTCCTTACTCCACTCACGCCCGGTGGGCTGGTGGGGTTAGCGGGCCTCGGGGCCATCCAACACGGATCCAGGTCATCGAATTTCAGGGGCAACGACGGGGGGAGATAGACTCAGGGGGGAATGCGTCGACCCCAATCGCCCATTGATCGCCGATAGGAGTCTGATAGCCCCATCCCGCTCAGGAGCGTGCGGATTCATCATCGGGGGCCTATCGTCGATCTATTGGCGACGTACAGCCAATTCCAAGTCGATGTGTCCCCCCGTTCAGCCAGTCCCCCGTTCAGCCAGCCACCCCAGCGGGGAAGTGTCGATTGGGTCCTTCGGAGACGGCAGCATGGATAAAAAACATATCCTCGGATGGCTTGGCCAGGACGTAGTATCATCTAGCCCTGGGCTAGTATTTTTTGGTCCACAAGCGTGGGCTCAGCGCCTAGGCACATGCTGAGGCCGGAGAGTTTCGACATTTCTGGCTTGCTGCACCCCAATCGTGGAGCTTTGTATGGTGCATGTCCTTGTAATTCCGCCTTGCGAGTGTATTGGCGTGCGCTAGCGTCTGGTAAGCGGTGGGAGAACGCCGATTTGGTTTCGTTTAGCGTTGATTTAGCGTCGACTCGCGTCGATAAGCGTCAGCCAGTGTCAGTTCGCAGGAGCCAGCAAGACTGCACGGGAGGCTTTTGTGAGTTGCCGCAGGAAATGGGCGCTGGCCGATCTGTGTGCCGATGCCTATCTCGTTGACATTCTGCGGTCGGCGTGTCGGGGGAACGCGCCGAGTGCGGCCAGACCTGGGGCGCGGAGGTGGGCCCCCAAACCTGTTTGTCCCTCGCCTCCGCCTTTGCGAGCAGCGCTCGCGTCGAGGAGTGATACCCGCGCGCGTTTCCCTTGCAGGTCCAAAGGTTTCCAACTCCTTGCCCTTTCGAGCACGGTGTGTCCCCAGACCTCTCGCCCCATGTGGTGGCTGACTTTTCGCCCCAGATCGCTTCGTCGACGGTCCCGGAGGCCGAAAACGTTTCCCTTGCAGGACGCCGAGAACGACGAAGCGCATGTGTCTCTGGAGGTTTTTCATGGCGGTGGAGCGTGGGTCTGGGGCCCAGTCATCCGACATGTTGTTTCTACGACCGTGCAGTGCCAGCTTTTCATCCTCGGTCGTTTTGGTTGACGGTCGCGCAGTGCGGACATTTGCCCCAAACCACAAAAATTAAGGACAAATGCGTATGGGGCGTTCCAGTTCCAGGAAAGGGCTTGCCTTCGAGAATCGAATGAGTTTCCATGTTTCCATGGAAGGAAAGAGGCGGAAATGCGGGTCAAGCCCACGGAAGTACATCGAGGCCTCCTCCGCCGGCGGAATCTAGCGGAAGGCCGGCGGAAGTCAGCGGAAGCAACACATGCGTCTCTAAGGAATGACAGCATTTTGGGTTTCAGGGTTTCTGGAACCCGCCATATATCAGCCGACAGGTTCCTTTTCCTCCTCCACCTCCTCCTTCTCTGTTCGCCAGCCATTTCTGCTCTGGAGATTTGTTGTTGTTCTTTTTCTTGTTGTTTTTGAATGGTTTTTTTCCCTCAGGCGCAGCCCAACACTTTCTTGGCCGACTGTCTCGTCAGTTCGCTGTTTTCGTTGATGTTGTGACGCTTGCTTCGTCCGTTTCGTCCCCTCAGCTTTGCTCGTTCTTCTCCAGAACTGCGCAGCCGATGGGCTTTGTCAATCCAAGGCCCCAGAGGTCCCAACGCCTTCCCGGTGACAGCTTTTCTGCCCCAGATCCTCTTTGTTTCTCCGAGGGCCCGAAGGATGGCCCCGCGGGTGCGGAGGTCGAGGGATTAGGGACGCTTGCCAGCCAGTCCAGCGCATCCTGTTTTTAGTGCCGCCCTTCCGAGGAGGGAAAGCTGCTGACACCGCCGCCTTCGCCCCGTCTTCTCCCCGTTTGGGTCTCCCGGGAGGCCCTCGCCGCCGCCGCTGGAGTCGCTTCGAGCTTCCAGTCAGAGCGCACCACCCCGGCGAGATCCGTAGGGCGACGATATCTATACATATCCACTGCTCCCGGCCAGGCCAATCCTGGGCCCAAGAGCTGTGCATACGCCCTCCTGGCTTGGCCAGGGAGGCATATACACCGCTCCTGGGCCCAGGATGGGCCTGGCCAGGAGCAGTGGATATGCATAGATATCGTCGCCCTAATCCGGGGAGCAGGGGCACGGGTACCTGTTGGTTTCCCCAACCCCCGCTGCCCCATCCCTCCGCAGCCGCTCTCTTCCCTCTGCCCCCGTCCCCAGTGCCAGCTCGCCATCGGGCACCCCGCCCGCGGCCGACCCGCGCCGTGCGAGCGCCAGCGCTGCGACGGAACATGCTTGGGGACGCTGGAGTCGCAGCGTGGAGCAGCACAATCATCCGATCCCCATCCCCACTGGGCCGAGATGTCCAAGACTGCCTGATGTTCCACGGGGGCTGCAGGAACGAGGGCCGCCAGATGCTCTGGACATTCTGAAACGCATCCTGGGCCACTCTGATCATGGAGTCAGTCCCGCACTAGAGGTATCTCAGCCCCAGTGGGGAAGGGGATACGGTGGGGGCGTTGGTTAAGTGATGTGCCAAGGAGGCTTCAGACCCTTGGGGCTTTCTGATCAACGATTGGAGTTCCACCGGCCTCCAGACCCTGGATTCCTTCTCGAAGGTTCTCGTGTCCAGTGTCCCCCCACCGTATGTCCGCCGACGCTCCGGGGACGGGCCGCGGCGCGGCGCGGAGCGCAGGACGCGGCGCCCCAGCCGAGGAGAGCGACAGCGGGCCGGACGAGTCCGGCAGGCACGAGTCCGACAGCGAGGAGCTGCCCCGAGCGCCATTCGCCGAGCGCGTTCCACTACTCGCAAAGTGCCTACTCGCAAACGTCAGGAAAAAGCCCATGTCCGCCTCGATGTAATATATTGTAAGTCCCCCAGGGCGGATCCAGGCCATTTGCGAGTAGTGACTTTGCGAGTAGCGGAACGCGCTTGCCTAGCCATGCTGGGCCTCGTCGTCGTCGGCGTCGGCCGTGGATCGGGGGGGCCCAAATGTCGGACATAGCCAGGACCCCGGGCAAGGGGAGCCGGTCAGTGATCGGGCCGCGGTGCCAAAGCATGCAACAGAATCGCTAAACCAGGTTTGCCGTAGCTGGTGTTTTTTTCGGGTGGCGACAGTTCCAGTTCGTGGGAAGTGGCGGGGGGGCGTCCCCAGGCTCGTATCACCAAACCAGGTCCCGCTAAACCCAGTTCTGCCAACTCTCGAACATGAGCGATGCAGAGAAACGAGTTCGATTGTTCTGACATTCGCGCACAAGCTGCCTGCGTGAGATGCCGCGTGAGCGCCCCCGTTTCCGCACTAGTGGGCCACGCTGGCGTGCCGCGTCAGCCGCGGCGTAAAGTCGTTGAGCCATCTCTTGTAAGAGCCGATTCTCTGGGCTGGCCACACTGTGTGGTGAGTCGATGTGGATTTGGGATGGCTGCACGGTTTTTGGACTTGGGTCGTTATCCGAGGACTTCTGGAATCGTATGGTGACGGACGGTGTGGTGAGGTATCCTGGGGTTCTGAGGTCACCGCAGTCTGGCAGCGCACGGTCTGTCACTGCACGATTCCGGGACCCCAGGTCGAATTATTCTTCGTCGGGCGGCGGGGAGGTTCCCGTCCCAGGCAGCGTCCTGAGAAAAGCCATTGCGGCTAAGCATTTGTTGGCGAGTTTCCGGCTGGGCGAGTCAGTTTTTGGAAGGCAGGACCTACACTGAAGGCAGGACCTCCCTGGGGACCCTCCACCGCAGGCGGGACCTCCTCTGGGAACCTCCTCCAGGAACTCTCTCCCGCAGTTGGGACCTCCCCCTGCACTCCCTGTCCCCAGGGGGGCGGGGGAGGGGAGGGAGGGCCGCCTGCCGCTGGGACCCCAGGGGGGGGCGGCGATCTGACCCGGGATTTCTCCTACTCCCCCTCTTCCCCAAGAGAAGGTGTTTGTGTGGTCCATTGGGTGTTTGGATGGCCAGGGGTGCTCCGGACCCTATAATTAAATCTTCTAGTGCGGCAGAAGGGAGGTTAGCCAGCAGGGAGAGACCCAGGCCCCCCTCCTAGCAGATACAAGAATCGTACGACAAGCCTCTTAGGGCATCCGATGATTTTCCTTTGGGGGGCTGGCCTGCAGGAAGAGACCCAGACCCCCCCACCTCCTATCCGATAGCAAACGTATGACGAGCCTTTTAGGGCAGCTGAAGATCTTCCTGAGGGGCTGAAGATCTGATTGGGAGGCCGAAGCGCTCCTTCGGGGGCTAGAGAGCTTTTTGGGGCCTCTGGGGAGCTTCTTGAAGCCTTGTGGATTTCGTTGCGGCCTATTGGGGATGTTCTTGCGGCATCTCTAGAATTTCTTGCGGCTCGATTTGATGATGTTGCTGTCGCTGCTCCCGCTGCTGCTGCTGGCGCTGCTGCTGCTGCCGCTGCTGCTGCAAATTCTGCTGCTGCTGATGATGCTGCTGCTGCTGCTGCTGATGATGATGATGATGATGATGATGATGCTGATAATGCTGCCGCTGCTGATGATGATGATGGTGCTGATGCTGACGCTGATGTGGATGCTGATGCTGATGCCGATGCTGCTGACGATGACGATGACGACTATGATGATGCTCATCATGATTACGCTGATGATGCTGCTGATGATGACGATGATGATGACGCGGATGATGATGATGCTGATTTCGCTGATGATGATGCTGCTGATGATGACGATGATAATGCTGCTGCTGCTGATGATGATGATGATAATGATGATGATGATGATGATGATGATGATGATGATGATGATGATGATGATGATGATGATGATGATGATGCGGGTGATGATGATGCTGATGATGATGATGGTGATGATGATGATGATGCTGATGATAATGAAGATGCTGACAATAGTAATGATGCTGATGCTGCTGCTGATGATGATGGCGGTGGTGATGATGATGCTGATGATGATGCTGCTGATGATGTTGATGGTGATGGTGGTGATGCTGATGGTGATGCTGATTATGATGCTGATGGTGATGATGCTGCTACTGCTGCTGATGGCTACGATGATGGCGATGACGATGACGGCGATGGTTTTCGATGAAGATTCGGATTAGGATGATGATGGTGATGCTGATGATGCTGATACTGAGGATCCTTGTGGGGGTGGTGCTGCTGATGCTGATGCTGATGCTGGTGCTGATGCTGCTGTTGTTGATGATGATGATGATTATGAGTGTGATGATTATGCTGATGACGATGAGGATGATGCTGATGATGATGGTTGTGATCGTGATGATGAGGATGACGCTGATCATGATTCGTAGTATGACGATAATGGTGACGATATTTTTGGTGATGATGAAGTTGTTGCTGGTGATCATGCTGCTACTGCTGCTGCTGCTGATGATGGTGAGGATGATGAGGATGATGCAGATGACGATGCTGATGATGCTGCTGCTGATGATGCTGCTGATGATGAGGATGATGCTAATGCTGATGCTGCTGCTGCTGCTGCTGATGATGATGATGATGATGATCATGATCATGATGATGATGATGATGATGATGATGATGATGATGATGATGATGATGATGATGATGACGATGATGATGATGATGATGATGATGATGATGATGATGATGATGATGATGATGATGATGATGATGATGATGATGATGATGATGATGATGATGATGATCATGATCATGATGATGCTCGTGGTCATGGCGGTGGTGATGATGACCAGGGGGGAGGAGGAGGAGGAGGAGGAGGAGGAGGAGGAGGAGGAGGAGGAGGAGGAGGAGGAGGAGGAGGAGAGGAGGAGGGAGGAGAGAGGAGGAGGAGGAGGAGGCGGAATAGGAGAAGACATAGCTGGAGGAGGAGGAGGAGGAGGAGGAGGAGGAGGAGGAGGAGGAGGAGGGGGAGGAGTAGGAGGCGGAGGAGAGCCGTCACATGTGGTGACGCCATTCGTTTTCACTTTTCGGCAAACCCTCATGGGCCCTACACTGGCTGTTTTGGGGGCTGTCTTGGGCTCCGCGGGGCCGTCTGGGGGCTCTCTTGGGGCGATCGCGTCCGTCTGGGGGATCTCTTGGGGCCGTGGTAATGCCGCATTGCGCTGTCCAGGGGTCATCTCAGGACCCTCGTGGGCCAGCGTCATGCCCGATTTGGTTCCGCCAGGGCCGTATTGAGGCCGTCGTGGATGCCTCCTGGGCCATTTCGAGGCCCTCTTGGGCCGTCGTGGGACGATCCTTGGAGGCCCAGTTGCCTCCTCCTGGCTCGGATCGGATGCACGGTTGCTCTTTGGCTCCAGCTCCGGAGCGACAGGTCATTTCTGAGAAAGGACAAGTTCTGATTTTGTAGTGGCCTCCGGCCAGTGCCGCCGATCCGGGGCGCTCCAGGTGCCTGTGGAAATGAACGACGACGAGGAAGACGAAAACGACGACGAAAACGAATACGTCGACGACGACGACGACGAGAGCGACGACGACAACGACCACGACGGCGACGACGACGACGACGACGACGGCGATGACGACGACGACGCGAGCGACGACGACGACGATGACGACGACGACGATGACGCGAGCAACGACGACGACGACGACGACGCGACGACAACGACGACGACGACGACGACGACGGGGGGGGAGCTGGGTTGCAGGGGGGGGGGTCTGCTCTGCAGGGGGGGTCCCGCTCGGCAGAGGGAGGGGCTGCAGGGGAGAGGGGGGGTCCGCTCTGCAGCGGGGGGGGCTGCAGGAGGGGGGGTCTACTCTGCAGGAGGGGGGGCGGCAGGGGAGGGGGGGGGGGTCCGCTCTGCAGGGGGGCGGGGGCTGCACGGGGGGGGGTCCGCTCTGCAGGGGGGGGGGGCTGGGCTGCAGGGGGGGGGGGGGGGGGGGGGGTCGCTCAGGGGGAGGGGGAGGGGGTGCAGGAGGGGGGTCTGCTCTGCAGGGGGGGGGGCAGGGCAGGGGGGGGGTCCGCTCTGCAGGGGGGGGAGGGGGGAGGTTCGCTCGGCAGGGGGGGGCTGCTCAGCTCTGCAGGGGGGGTGCAGGGGAGGGAGGGGGGGGTCCCGCTCTGAGGGGGGGGGGGGGGGTGAGGGCTGCAGGGGGGGGTCCGCTCTGCAGGGGGGGGGGGCTGGGCTGCAGGAGGGGGGGGGGGGGCCTCTGCAGGGGAGGGGTCCGCTCTGGAGGGGGGGGTGGGGCGAAGCACTGAATTAGGTCGGAAATAGGTCCTGCAGGGGGGGGGGGGGGCTGCAGGCTCTGCAGGTGGGGGGGGGGCTCTGCAGGGGGAGGGGGTCCGCTCTGGACGGGGGGGTGGGGCGAAGCACTGAATTAGGTCGGAAATAGGTCGGAAATAGGTCGGAAATGAGGTCCCCCCCCCTTCGGCAGAGCGAAGCTTGAGCGAGCTCAAGCCCACGCTCTCAGAAACTCACACGCCGCATCGGCGGACTTGTCACCATTACCGCCATGTCTTCTATAACAAAATTGCCAGCCCTGCAGTTCTGGCTCCTGGCCTGCCGCCCGCACGGGGCGTTCCCAGGGGCCTAAGACCCTCTCGGCGGAAGTCGAGGGAGGCTGGCCGAAGTGTACACCTCAGGCGATGCTTAAGAAAACCTAAGTTTTCGGCCAGAGTCTCGATTATTCTTAACGTTTCAATGCAATTCTTAAGATTTTAATGGAAATGTTGGGTTTTTATTCAAGTTCTGAGACTATGAATTTCTGAACCCATGATTTCTTAAGCATTTCGCAGGGTGTACTGCGCAATGCATGAGGCCGCCCACCCCCCAGGTAGATTGGCGCCGATTTCATCGGGGCCTTCCAGCGCCAGCCAGGCACGTCGGGCATTTGGGAGCGTCTTTCACTCCTGGGCGACGATGGGCGTGACTGGGTGTGGGGGGGGGGGCTGGACACGTCGCGACTCGCGCCGGCACCGCCTGGGAGTGCGCAGGAGTGGCTCATTCCCAGACGGCGCCAGCGCGCATCGTGACACCCCAGGGGGGGGTACAGCAGTCTGTTTTTTCGCACTCTGGCCGCTGAAAGAACGACAGCGTTCAGATGACGTGACTGCTGGCTTGCCCGAGCGGTCGGCCGGGGGTCTCCGTGAGCAACGACTGCAGCTAGCTCCCCACTGCCCCACCAGGGCAGCCGCAGGGGGGGGGAGGGAGGGGCGGGGCCCGTCACTGGCGCTATCGCGAAGAAGAAGCCGGCTCCTGCTCTCGCTGCCATTCGGAGGTTAAAGCAAACACGTAGGCATGATCTTTCGGAGCTGCGCGCGGATTTCTTGAGTCGGCGCAGGGCCCCCTTAGCGGCGCCTCTGTCGCCGCCCCTGGCGCGCTCCACGCGCCAGGAAGGGGGGCTCAGCGCGGATCTGAGAGATCCGCGCGACCCTCCGAGAGTTCATGTGTATATCGATTTCCGTTCCTCTCATCATTTCGCCGCGGTGCGTCGCCACGGTGAAGCTTTGCCAGCGGCGGCCCCGCGGCAACGGCGATTGCCGGGGGGGGCGGCCACGACGACCCTCCGACCTCGTTCGGGGCGCGTCTCCGGCCCGGGCGGCGGAGGGGGCCGTGGCTGCGAGGGAGTCCCCGCGGGCTGCCCCCCCAGCAAATGCCGCGTTTCAGGCAGGGTCACGAGTTCGAGGATCGAGGGAGCTGGCATCTCTTCCTCGGCGGAAGGCGGCGGAAAGGCCAGCGGAAGGCGGCGGAAGGCGGCGGAATCAAACATGTGTTTTCCAAGAGCTGACAGCGCGGTCGGGCTCAAGTGATCCGGAGCTGGGCCAGACGGTTGCAGAAGCCTTCGTCCTCGAGCCCAACATGTCATGCGGAGGGATCTGCATTGGGGGGGCTCTGGGCCCGGGGGTTATGGATCTTAGTGGGCCCTGGAAGCGGCAGAGACGGCTGTTATACCGTTGTCACAAAACATGTTGATCATTCAAATTGTTAAGGGAAAGGTTCACCACCGTTGCGGTGAGCAGCCAGTTCACCGAAACGGTCTCGGCTGTCCACGGATCCGAAGGACGACTGGAACCGGTTCGAAAACGATTCGGGTTTGGCTGAAAATTTGGATTTGGACTTTCAGGTCCCCCCAGGGGAAGCAAGAATTGCGAATCAACGGCACTGGAAACTTCCAAGAAACTGCGCAATAGATTCAAAACATGAAATAACTAAGACGGTGAAACATTGCCCTGTCGTTTCCAGAGTCCACTAAGCTCTGCACGTTTCCAGATCTCTCTGGAGGCCCCCAAGAGGCCGAAACAGAATTTAGAACCATCAGGAACGCCAGTCGTTTCCAGAGCCCACTGAGCTCTGCATGTTTCCAGATCTCCCTGGAGGCCCCCAAGAGGCTGAAGCAGAGTTTAGAACCATCAGGAACGCCAGTCCCCGACTTCCGATGGTGTCGTGCTTCTTTCCCCTCGTCGGGGCAGGTGTTTGTCCCTAGTGCGATTTTGAATCTCCCCAGGACCCAAGAACACCCCCCCCCCGAGGCCAAAATTCAGAAGCAACATCCCCGATGATAGCAGCAAGCCTTCGGCTGGGCCTGGGGGCCGAAGGTCGACCAGGGCCTCTGCTGGGATGCACACGTTCTGGCCAGGGTTTCCAGGGGAACCTTGCCGCGGGGACGAGGCGACCCCCCTTGGAGGTTCAAAGACGACGAGCCTCGGTCCCCCCAGCCGGAGCTGCGACCACACCGTGTGATGAGTCAGTGGGGAGTCGGCGCCACTGCACGGCCTTGCGACTCGGGGCCGCTTCCGAGAGGACGTCTCGGGCGACGGGGGCCTCCGCCCCCAGACGGTCCAGACGCGTTCGGTGATGGGCCGTGCGGCGAGGCCTTTCTGGATTTCGAGGGCACCGCACGGCCTGTCACCGCGCCGCTCTTTAGCTCCCGCGGAGCACGTGGCCGCAGCCGGCACCGCCGCGAGAGGGCCCGCAGCGGCAAGAAGAACGTGGGCCAAGGGAATGGGCCCCAGCGCCGAAGGCCCCATGCGCCTCAGAGAGAGAGAGAGAGAGCCGGGGCCCTGGCACACGCGTAAAAGGGCGCGACGTTTCCTCGAGCGGGGAAGCTTCGTGGGCACAGCGGCTGAAGCAAAAAAACACAGGCGGGGGTGTGCACCCTCATTCTGTCTGGGCGTGGTCTCCCCAGATCTGGGGCGTCTTGGTTTTTCCAGGAAGGGGCCCCCAGGAAGTGCCGACTCTTCCCCGTGGCCCCGTTCTTCTTCCCGGGCTGTTTTGTTTGACGATCACGGGGCCCAGCGTGGGCCCCGAGAGGCCGGAGACAGCCGACGACCTCGCGTCCCGTTTTCCTCTTCGCGACCCGATCATGCCTGTTGGGCCCTCACCGGTGCACGAGATCCGGAGGGGGACGACGCCGAGGATCGGGGGAGGCAAGGAGGGGGGTGATGGCTCGGGGGCGGATTTCATGGCGGGGTCCACGATATCTCCCCATCTTGCATGGTGCCTTTTCTTGTTTCAACGCCTCCCCAGTCCCCCCCTGGGCCGCGCACATGCCGCGGGCCATGATTTGCGCCCCTCCCTCTTGGGCGCCCCCCCTCTTGGACGCCCCCGAGAGGGCCCGCGGCGCGAAGCGAGAGGACGAGGCCGTGCTGGCGGCGGCCCTGCAGCTGTCGCTGGGCGACCGCGCCCCAGCCGCGACCGCCGCCTCGATGCCCGCGGCCGCGCCCGCAGCTTGGCCGACCGAAGGTCCACTGAGTGGCTACCTGTCGACTACCCGTAGGAATGACCTCTCGCAGGAGTGACCTTTGGTGCGGGCCCAGTGGGGCTCCCAGATCGTTGAGCGAGGTGCGAGCAGCGGCTTGCGCGCCTGGCTTTGGTTCCCCGCGCCCCCTCTAAGGTCTGCCTGGGGTCACTCCTGCGTGCATCCGGACCTGCACCTTCCGCACCTTCCGCGCGGCAGTTGCCGTGCTGCCGCGGCCGCCACGGCCGCATCGCGGCGGCACCTTCCGCGCGGAAGGTTCGGAATGTGCAGATCGAGGGGGGGCAGACCCTCAGGGGCAACGCCACCAGTCGGAAGTGGCTGCGTGCGGACATCGGGAGAAGGCCCGCCCAGACAAGCCGACTGAGAACAGCCGCGCCAGAGCTCGCTTGGCAGTGGGCATTCGAGTGTGCCTGTGCAGTCCCCCCCAGTCGGTTTCGCTGATAGTTGAGGTGTGTTCTGCCGGATTGATTCGCTTGCCCCCGGACGTCGCCTAGCTACCCCGCTGAGCTGGGGTCCACTCGGAGGGCGGTGCCGAGCGCAGGTGGAGTGCCCCTGGCAGCTTTCACTAAAGGGCGTTTTGCTGAAGAGGCACCTGTTCATCCCCGACACAGGGGCCCTCAGGTGCAACGACGGTCGGGAGTTGCGACATGGGTCCCAAGCTCAACCCGGACGTGCCCGCGTCCTGACAAAAAGGACGAAGACACGACGGGGGGGTTTGCCGGTTTCGGCCTCCGTGGGCCTTCGCTGGGCCGCGGGACCGCCAAAAGATGCCCCGGGGCGAAGAACCGGCCCCAGGGTCGGGCGCCCCACCCCGGCCAGGAACGCTCGGTTTCGCGATCGAGGGCTTATCGCCGATCCGTCGGCGACACATCGCCGATCCTGGGTCTATATTTCCTCCCCGGAGCCGTTCCCCCCACCGGGCGCCCAGATCTCGAGCGTCCCGCAAAAAGTCCGGCCGGAGGTCTTCTGTGCAAGTCTGGTTCTGAAGGCCCTCGGCCTTGGGGCCGCCAGAAGCCAGTCCGGGATGGTTTCGGAGGGACGACCACGTACGTGGCAACGACAGATGGTTACCGCAGGTCTGGGGACCTTCTCCTGCTTACACCCTGCGAGATGCTTAAGAAATCATGGGTTAAGAAATTCATAGTCTCAGAACTTGAATTAAAACCCAACGTTTCCATTAAAACCTTAGGATTTACATTGAAACATTAAGAATAATCGAGACTCTGGTCGAAAATTTAAGTTTTCTTAAGCATCGCCTAAGGTGTACGCTTCTGATGCCTCTTGGGGGGCTTCTCGTCGCCGCGGTGGAATTCCCGTCGCAACGCTCGTCAGAGCTCGGCGCAGGAGGCGCGGACGCGATGGCGTTTGACCCTCGAGGCCAGGGCTTCGAAGGAGTCGTTTTCGTGCACCCCGGCGTTTCTCCTGGACTTTTGCTCCCGGGGGCCGTTGCTGGGCGGGCCTTGCACGACGTCCAAAATCCCCCTGCAGGGGGACATGCCCGACCTAACCTTGGTTGTGTGTTTGTGTTTGTTGCTCGGGGCCTCTGAGAGAACTCTCCTCGTCTCGGTTGGGTGTCCTTGGAAGTGCTGGACAGGATGCGCCCGCTGGACGGGCCCAGGGAGTCGGTCCTGAGTGGATGGTGTTCGGGCTCCAGGGAGGGAGAGAAGGAGGAGGACCAGGGTGACCAGAGTAGACCCAAGATGTATCAACGATGCTGCTACAAGACGCCCTCCCGTCCCAAGACCCCTCCTCAGAAGTCCTGACACGCACTCTCTTTCATTGAGCGAAGCGCCCCCTTGAAACGCAGTGCTCCATGGGCAGGCAATTCAGACGGAAGCTCGATTTGGACAAGGATGTGTTCTCGATGTTTCGATCCATGGGGAAGGAAACAAAGTTGGGGCATAAAGTCTCACGAAGTTTCCAACGACAGCCCCAGTTTGAAACATGGCCGCCTTCCACTCGCGTAGCTGTTGCACAATTGTAATCACTGGCCATGCCATTTAACAAACATGTCGAGCGGTGCTCTAATTTTACCGAGAATGTGTCCTTCTTCCATTGAAGATGCGCAGGGTGATACTTGTACCCCATGTCCTGAAGGAAACGCGCTTCACTTGTGAAGTGTTCCAATCTATTCAGACGAGTGTTCGCGGCGTCTAGGCTAGTGTCCCACTTTGTTTGGAAACCGAGCGCCCTCCATCCGTGTAGCCATTGGACGTTTCAGAACAATGGAGTGTGTGCGGCTTCAGGGCGAGAGATCTATTTCGATATGGATTCGGCGTCCATTGGTGTAGCTTCAAGCGTCAATCTTGTGAACAATGGGGATGTCTCCGTCGAAACGCCCAGTCCACTAACGACACTTCTGGTGATGCGACGGTGGTGGTGTTCGTAAGGAAGGGATGAATGAGGGACGGGAAGAGCAAGGATGGACAGGACCAGGATCGAGGTCGATCGAAGTGTTGGGACAGGTTCTCTTTTTTTCATGTGCTATCATGGTCCACGACGCGTCGGGGGAAGGCCTGCCAGGACCTCTGGGGACCTCTGGCATCAGAAAGGGTTGTTCCCGTGCGCGTTTTCTGTTGCTATCTCAGTAGAGCGTTTGGTTCTGGAGAGCGCATACACCTGCCAGGAGAAAGACGAGATCTGCCCTCAGCTGGGCAGGTCCTGAGGCAGCGGGGCAACCCCTGAGCGACACCAGCGTTTGCCTCACAACGCTTGCTTGCTGTTGGGCCAAGACGAGATTTGGATCCGCGGGTGGCTTCCCCGTCACGCGCGCCGGGAGTGCGGGGCAGCAGCTCTGCAGCGAGGCACACAACGCCGGCGGCGGCGGCGTCGGGGTCCACAACAAGCAGGGCCGTCGAGGAAACGCGACCGACTATGCACAATGAGCGCGTTTGCCGCACGAGCCACGAAGATTCGAGCCCGCGCCCCGAGTGTGTGGCCTGTGCCACCAGCACTGCCAGACCAGGGATACTCGAGCCACAGGTCGCCCGTAGCCTGGTCCACGCGGCGGGTGGTGCCGAAGCACAGTCGCCCGCCGAGGAGAGGTGCGGCGTGCCAGGTCTCTGACAGGCCGGCATGCAGTGCTCGGAGACACGCCGGCTTTGGCCACAGCCGCGCGCCGCGACCACAATGCCTCCGCGGGTGGCGAAGCCGACGGCAAGCAACGGGGTCCGGGGCAGATCCGTTTCTTGGGCCCCTGAGAGAGGCCGGCGCCATGGCAGGGCCGCCTTGTGCTGCCCCGTCACTCCAGCCTCGCTCTGCCGCGCCGAGTCCTCCTGGCCGCCTCCACGTTTTCCACGTCGTGCCGTGGGCCACAGGGCCGCGGACGGGATGCAGAGCGACGACGACCACCGAGCGGCCGAGTGGGTAGCTGCTGCTGTCGTGTTCCTTGCGCGGCACGCCGTGCCCGCAGGGACTGCCACGCCCCGAGCCGTTCCAGAGGGCCTCCTTCGCGCTTCTGTGTGAAGTGCTGGCGCTGCCAGCTGTTTGGCAGCCAGGCCACTCCTCGCCAGCGCGGTGCGTGGTCCGCCAGCGCACCTCGCCAGCGCGGTGCGCGGTCCGCCGGGCGAGGGGCGGATTAGCCCAGCGGCCCCCACGCAGGTGGTGGGCTGGACATGTGGCCCTCAGCGCGGCGCCCCAGTGCCTCTGGACGTTTGCGAGCGCCGCCACGGCTGGGGCCGTGGAAGGAGGAGAAAGAGGCGAGGCGGAAGAAGCTTGGAGAGGAGGGGGAGGAGGAGGAAACAGGGGCGGAGGACGAGGAGTGGACGGTGAGGGGGGCGTGGGGCCCTTGAGGGGGTTGCGCAGCTCTGGATTTTCCGTCGGCCCTCTGTTGACAGGGAGGTGCTGCCGGCCGTGGGCGCGCCGTCGACCGTTTTCACCCGCGCCGCCCCAGGGCCACTCCCCAGCAGAAGCCCTTTCGTCCTCGCCGCTGGCAGCCGACACGATGGCTCAGCCTTGGTTTTGGCGGGGTCCTTGGAATGTTGTTCGTGGTGGGCATCTGCATTGGGATCGGGCCGTCGGAGAAGTGACTGACGTTTTTTACTCAAACTGTTGTGTGGCCATGTTCCGGATATATTCCTCTTGCAAGTCTGGACTATCGGTGGGTGTTTCTGGTCGCCGTGGCCGGACGCAGCCCGAGAATCTTGCCAAAATGGTGTTTGGGTCCCGGACGAGGGGTCGGGGGCTGGCTTAGCTGGGGCCATGGGCCTCATTGCGCACTTGCCTTTTGAGCAAATGCCTCAAATACAAAAAACTGGTGTTCTGAGGGCGTCTTGCTCTGACATTTGCTTTTTAATATTATGTCGCGTAACGATCGTTGCCTGGCCCCCCCCCACATGCTGATCCTTGCGCGCATCTACTGTGGTGATCGCAGCGTTACTGTTGCCCGGGGCCCCCCGCGGGTAACGACCGCTACCGTAAACAGTAAACAAACAAATCGTGGCCACCTCGGCCGAGGAAACAGCCGTCGCGGTCGAGGACATTTGAGCGACGCAGGATACGAGGCCGTCTTCGCCGACATCCTCGCGCGATTTGCCCGCGTCGGCTCGCGCGTAGGCGCCCTCGTTCCCGGTGCTGCCGCGTGCCGCGCCGGCGGTCCGCGTAAGATGCGGCGTAAGGTCTCTGCTGTACGTCTCTAGGCCTCCTAGATGGGGTCGGAGTAGATGGGGTCGGAGGATCGCGCCGCATCGCCGATGCATCGGCGATGCATCGGCGATGCATCGGCGATGCATCGGCGATGCGGCTCGATGTGGGGCTCGATTCTCTCCACGCCAACGCCAACGTCGCCGATGCATCGCCGATGCATCAGCGATGCATCGTCGATGTATCGGCGATGCGGTGAGATCCCCCGACCCCATCTACTCGGACCCCATCTGGGCGGGCTCTAATGTCATCTCGCGTAGAACCTGCTTCTGATCGCCGCTCATTTGGTCCCTTGGCGCGGGGGGCGGGGGGCGCGGCGAACCGCGAGCCGAGCAGCCACGGCCGGCGGCACCTCCCTGGCGTCGGCAGCCGCTGCCGCGGCGGCCCCAGCGCCAGCGG